AGGGAGTTGCCTTCTGTGTTCACCATGGTATTGGATGGACAGTGAATGAGTGAATGAATGAATGAACACACGCATGCAAGAAGGGAAGGAGGAAGCCGGGGCAGGCGGGAGGCCCTCGATGGGGTTGGGGGAGGGTGATGGTGTGGGGGAGGGGACAGGAAAGCAGAGGCCACTGGCTTGCCACCTCACTGCCTATCCCCCCTTGGGCAGCATCAGAACCCCTCCCTGTACCCAGCACAGACTGAGGAAAGTCCCCAAGGAAAGTCCCTTGCGAGCCGCTGATGAAGCATTGTTGTGGTCCAATGTCAAAATATAAAAATAAAGAATAATTTCAAAAAAGATTTTGTGTGCAGCTTTGCAGAGGGAAATGTCCTGCCTTTTTTTTTCTCCACTCAGAAGGAAGGGACGTTATTCAAAACAGTCAAAAAGTGGAAACAACCAGAATATCCACCAGGTGATGAACAGATAAACAAACCATGGTCTATCCATACAGTGGAATATTACTCAGCAGTCAAAAGGAATGAAGTCCTGATTCATGCTACAACGTGGATGATCAGCGAAAGGAGCCAGACACAAAGGACACACATTCTGGGATTCCATTTCTATGAAGTATCCAGAATAGGCAAATCCATAGAGACAGAAAGTAGATCAGTGGTGACAGGTGGGGTAGGGGGAAGAGAATGGAGATGAGTGCTAATGGGTACCGGGTTTCTTTCCAGGGTGAAGAAAATGTTCTGGAATTAGATAGTGGTGATGGTTGCACAACTTAGTGAATATCCGAAAAAACACTTTAGAAAGGGTGAATTGTACAGTTTGTGAAATATATCTTTAAAAAAATGAAGGGAGGTATGAGAAGGAGAAAAATAATTGAGTAAAACAATAGTGTTTCCCCCACATTGGCTTCATGACAATGTTTGAGGCGGGGAGGCAACAATAATAATTGGTGACAATAATAATAACAGAACAAGGATGCCTGCCACTGTGGACTCCGGCAAGTGCTCAGTCTTCTGGTGGCATCTGCATCCCCTTTCCCATCTGAGCCTGGAAGCACTACCTCGCTTGGCTCTGTTCCTGCCATTCATGGCCTTCCTTGGTCCTTGGGAGTCCCCCTCCAGCCCCCTGCCCCCCTAAATGTGTCACCTGGATTTGGCTCTTCCTTGTCTGCCAGCTCAGGTCATTCTCCAGGGGTTGGTGACCAGACCTGGGGTGAGAATACCAGGTTTGAGTTCCAGCCCCCTCATCCCTGTGCCATGTACCCTGAGCCTCAGTTTGCCACGTGTCCAGCGGAGCCGGGCCCCCTTACCCTGCAGGGCGTCCTAGGAGCCCCAGTGTGGCAGCGTGGTCAGGAGGCTGTGTCGCCCGGCCTGCTCAGGGCCAGCAGGGGCTGCGTGCCCCTGAGGCTGCCCTGCCTACGTGTGCACACACATGCCCAGGCTCGGGGCTCTTGCTGTCTCTGCCATCTGCTTGGGGACAGCATTTGGTGGGCACTTGTGAGTCTCCAGCGGGGCAGAGACTGTGCTCGGCCACTAGGGGCCAGTGCAGCCTGAGGTGGGCCCCGTGGGCCCGCCCTGGATGGGCCTGGTGGGCGTGGGGTTAAGGGTAGGGGCGAGGGGCACCTTGTCTTCCTCCCCACAGGCTCCCCAGAGATGCAGTGCAGCACTGGACATGAGACTGTGCCTGTTCACTCCGTGCTCACAGCCCTTCCAGTCAGACTGGAGTTTGGGACTCCAGGCCTTGCCCATGCCAGCTTCCAGAGCCTTCCGGAACCTTCCTGGAGCTGAGGCCTGTCCAGGGGCCGGCCAGGCTCGGGTTGGTTGGGTACTGCCTTCTCAGGGAGCATCTGAGGGAGTAAGGATCCCAAGAGAGGTCTTCACCCAGGGGGTCCCGAGGCCACACACGCCAGTCCAAGGGCCTGGGAACCTGGAAGAAACCCCAGCATGTGTGTTTAGAAGCCTCTGGCAACCTCCAAGCAGGAAAACAATTTTATTTATTTATTTAGTGAGGAGGACTAGCCCTGAGCTAACATCTGATACCAATCCTCTCCTTGTTTCTTTTTTTTTTTTTTTTAATTTTTTTTTTTTTTTCCCCCAAAGCCCCAGCAGATAGTTGTATGTCATAGCTGCACATCCTTCTAGTTGCTGTATGTGGGACGCAGCCTCAGCATGGCCGGAGAAGCGGTGGGTCGGTGCGCACCCGGGATCTGAACCTGCGAACCCCGGGCCGCCGAAGTGGAGCGCGAGCACTTAACCGCTTGCGCCACCGGGCCTGCCCCGAACAATTTTCTTTTTTGTCGTAATGTTATTTGGGTCTTTCAGGGCATCTCAAGTACATAAAATGTGCTCAATTAGGGTTTAAATTCTCTTCATCCTCTGCTTCTATTAACATTCTAATTAAGTCAGGGTCCCGTTTTCGTTCCATGTTTTAACTTCCACAATTTTCCACGAGTCCAACCCCACCAAACATAAGGGGCACTGGGGAGAGGATGGGGAATCTTCCCAAGACAGTTTTTCCCCTCTGAATTCCAAAACAAGGGCAAAGTGGGGCCCAGGCCCAGACTTGCTTTTCTGTTTTCACTGATGGGGGTTTCTTTCAGCTCCTCGCTCTTTAAAGACTGGCCCAGGGATTTACTGCGTAAGGAACAGGTTCCGGAATTCATGGGGGCTCTGGCTCGAGCCCCCGGCAAAAAGTGCTTTGAGCTGCTTTTTACAACATGTACAACACTAGAGATCCACAGCTTCTGCCTTTTTCCTTTTCAATTCTGTTTTTATTTTTTCATTCCACGTGAAACACCTCGGGGTGAGTGCAAAACATAAACATCAATTACGATTCACTGAGCCCTGAGGAGCAGTGGCGGCGACTCCAGGCATATACAACGGCATTAGACATGCGGCCTCTTCCAGCCAGCAGCTCTCAGAGGCCCGGTGCCATTGCTAAACTCCAAGCGCCTCCCCCCGTGTGACCCCCTAACAGCGGCCGCGAGAGGCAGTGAGTGCGAGGAAAGACCGCTGCTTCGAGCCACCCCCAAGGGGGAAGGGCAGAACATGGCCCCTCGGGTGGTGCGGGACAGGCCACTACACATGCCATGCCCCTTCCTGGAGCCCCAGGCACGTGCCTTCCCCTCCGGGGCCTCAGTTCACTTCTGTGAACAGTCTGGGTGACCGGAGCAGTGGCGGAGCACAGACTCCCTGGGAAACCAAATGAAAGCTACAGCTCCTGCCTCTCCAGGAGCAGGGACGCCTGCACACCCCACTTAATCCACAATTTCAGCCAGGACCGTGGAGGCAGTGATGAAGCAACCGTGATCTCGTGCTGGTGAAAATGACGCTACAACCATAGTAGAGGTTAGCCCTGGTGGATCTGCCCCCGAGCCAGGCCCGTGCCAGCCTCTTGATGCAGATGATCTCCTGCCTGAATCCTCCGACAACACCAGGAATCTGGAGTACTGCTCTCTCCAGTTAGACGAGGAGTTAGGCCCCAGTGAAGGTCACACAAGTAGTTAGTGGCAGAATTGGAATGCGACCCCTCAAAGGCACCAGCCATTTCAGATTTATGATTTCTGTTCTGCTGATGCAACTGGGCCACCCCTCAGTCACGTCACAAGCTGCAGCATGTGTTTTAATCCTTCCCCTCTGCCCTCCTCTTTAAAATTGTGGACGGTAGCATGCATGCATATGGAAAATGGCATAAAGCATGTACATAGAGCTCAGTGTAAGATCATAAAGCCAACACTCTGCCAACGCTCAGGTCCAGAAGTGGACCTGCCGACTCCCCAGCCCACCTGCTGACCACGCTCACATCACCTCCTTGTTTTTTGTGCTCTTTTCCCTGTTTGGTGCATTCCTAAACTGTAGGGTGGAGTGGGGCCTGCTTCTGCCTATCTGTGAGTAGAACCATCATTTGTCGCTGGGCCTTTTGCTGGACATCCTGTTGGTGAGACCCGTCCCTGTGTTCCCCTCCTGTCCCTGGGACCAGGAAGTGGTGCAGGGCCGTCCCAGCCAGCAGGTGTCTGATTCCGGAAAAGCATGCCCACACCCAAACTCATTCACTGCATTTGAATTCTCAAAAACCAGCAAGTGCAGTGCAACAGCACCTTCTGTTTATTTAAACCCAACCCACCCTATTTAAAGTCCTGTTTTGAAATAAGCACTGGGGATTTCTCCAGTGTGGGACCCCCTGCGGTCTCCTTCACCCCGCCTGGCCTGGGGGCTTTCCACTGAGAGGTGAGGGCAGGGTCCTCCCAGCCGTCCTGACCCTCAATCTCCTGCCCTCTGACCCTCCCCAGGAAGAGAAGGGCAGTCCCGGGAGGTCCTGGGTGGTCACACTCAAGGGATGGACTCCCCCCACCTCCCCGCCCCCGCACATTTCCCTACAGGGCTTGCCAGTGAACACTCCCGGACTAAAAGTTCCCAAAGTCAGTCGACCTCTGAGGTCAATAATAATGTCTTCAAATCGTTGCTAATGGGAAGAAAATGCTGATATTTGGCTTCAGCCCAAAGACATTGCTTTCAGCAACTTGGACCAAAATCGGTTGAGTTTGTGTTTATTGACTGATTGCGACCTGGGCCCCACACCTGTCTGCGCTCAACTCGGAAATGCGGCGGCCGATCGGACCCTCCCTCGTCAAAAAGACCCGCTCTAGTGACGCGTGCGCAGCATCTGCCCCTCCTGCCGCTTCCCCGGGACCAGGAGAGGCCTCTCGGTGGGAGAGACTCCCCCCCACTCCCCCACTGCCTTCGACGACTGAGAGGCGGAGGGGCTGGGGTGGGTTCTGACACCCAGGGCTCTACCGAGGGCAGGGCGAGTGCATCCCCCCACCCGGAGGTGGCACAGTCCTAAAGCTCCGTAGGAGGGGAGGTGTCTGTCGCACAGTCCTAACCCCTCTTCTCCGCCAGGCTGTGCTCCGCAGGGGGCGGCCGGGTGTCGCTTAGTTCTAAAGCCACCTCCCCCCGTGGTTCCCCACAGAAGGCGGCTGTATCTCAGTTCTAAACCTCCCTCCCCAGTCCGTTCCCCGAAGGAGAGGGGGAGAGGGTGTCGTCGTACAGGACATCCCCCCTCCCCCCGCCCCTGGGTGGTTCCGCGCCCCACGCCACCTTCAGGGCCCGCGCTGCCGGCCGCCGCGCTTTGGGAGTAGCCGGGGGGCTTCGGGCCGGACCGCGCGTCCGCGAACGCTCAGGTCGGTCGCACCGCGGGAGACCAGCTCGCTCCCGCCGTCCCCACTCCAAATCCCAAATGTCAACCCGGGTTTTTCTTTTCGTTTAAACGTTGCGCTTTAAACCAAGGGGGACCAGAATCCGGTTAGTTGCCTATTGGGTTTCAAAGTCCAGAGGAGTTTTGTCGGAGTAAAGCCCTTCAGCCTCCCGCATTTTGCTGTAAATGTGTAACCGTCCCCCGGCACCCCCGCGGTCCTTCCTAGGGGGCGGGCGCCCAGGCCCCCGCCCGGCACCTCCGCACCCGTCCCTCTCCCCTCCCGGGTCCAACCCGCGCGGCTGCCGCGGCGGTGGTCTCCGCAGATCAGTTCTGCTGGGGTGGGGTGGGGTGGGGGGCGTTGGGCCCCACCCGGCCCCCCGGAGGTGCAGAGCCATCGCCCCACTGGTAGCGGCCGCCCGGGCCCCCCAGCCCCGCCTTTCCCGGCCCGACTCCCTCTGCACCGCCCCCCGGGAGGTTGGGTGGGAAGACCGCAGGGGAGTGGGCCCGGCCCCCAGCCCCCGCCCCGGCTGCGCCCCCGCGTCTCCATAGCAATCCTCTCGGCGCGCACCTCCAGGCCGGCTCCCCACGGGGCTGAACAATACGCGGCGGGGC